TATATATGCCTAGTGGTCTTTTTTTTACTTGTAGAAGAACATGAATTTTGTGGTATTTTAAAGAGTGACTTCCATATTTTTTTATGAGGGATTTTTGCAGTTTTTAAATAGGGAATACCAGAATTCCATCTACTGAGGCAAGTGGCAGGACCCAGGCAAAGGAGCCTGCTCAGAACTGGCACCCAGCTGGGACAGCTTGGAGCCAGGAGGACATGCTTTGACAGTTCCAAGCAGGCCACCACACTGAGAAGATCTGCTGGGTGACAGCTGCCCAGATGGCCAAGCATTGTCACACATGGCAGTATTGCTGTATAAAGGCCAGCTATGCAGCCACAGCCCACTGGCAGCTGGCCCAGAGGTGCAGATGCCTCTAATAGTCATGCATTCCTATCTGGATCTGGCAGGCATGCAGCCTTGGTGCCACATGCTGCCACAGGTGGCAGCAGGTAATAGCCAGGCAGCAGCCCCCACTGCCAGACTACTGCAGTGGGTAGAGTGTACAGGAAACTGTCACGGCTGCTTCAGCAGTCCAGCTGGCACAAGGGGTAGTAACCCCAGGAACCAAATGACTGGGCCTCAGAAGCTTCTGTCTATTTGTAACATTCAAATACCATGGGTCCTAAGGCCTACCCAGCTAACTAGTAGTCCCCATTGTAGGCAGGCTAATGGGTGAATGCTATAACTAAATACTTGGGACAACAAAGGCAAAAAAACAGGACAGGAGTGACAGGAGGGTCAAAGGGTAAAAACATGAAAATGAGTGTGCCTGAGGGGGACACCAAGCAGACCCCCCGGCTGCACGCACTGGTCCTCAAAGGCATCCAAGGAGCTGGTGGATGCTGCCCACTGGTGCCCTGCCTGGAAACATGGACAGACAAGTGAGAGGAAAGTGGCTTCACAATCTCCGAGCACCTTCCCGGCCAGAGCTTCCTTCCTCATCAAGTACAGGGCCCACTTGGCCAGGGTCAGGAGGAAGTTGACCAGGTGGGGCCGTAGATGGGGTGACCAAAAACAAAATGGTGGGGGGTGAAATTCAACCAGAACCTCAAAAGGAGGTTCTGGAGGTAGAGGTGGAGGGGCTGCACCCTGGCACACTTGAGGGTCATGTGTGCTAGGGTCTCCCTCTGCCCACAGAAGGGGCAGGGGACAGGTATCTGTGAATCTCACCACATACACATCCGTGGTGACAGCTCTATGGAGGAGCCACCAGATGAGATCCCCAGTGGCTCGTGGGATGAGGGTGGAGTACAGAC